AATGGGAAAATTTATACCGTCATACCTTAGCACTGAGCTAAAGTGGGGGTACGAACTGATCCTGTCTACATGAACTTCTGCTGGATGAAGAGCTGCCGCAACGGTCCAGAGAAAGCAATACGGATCACTACTTCTAATGTTCACAACTGCTTTTCTATTTCGTACATCCTTTGGTAGTTCGATATTTGTTGATGTTCACCGCCAAGTTTATAATTTCAAGCAATGACCAGCCTGACTCTCTCTCTTGAAAGTCTTTAATTTTAGTCAGTATTGCTTCCTCATAGAGGAAGTTATGTTTTCATGACAAATTTTTTTCGAGATTTTCATGTTAGAATACTTAACATGGTCTAAAACGTCAAGAAAAGTAGTTTAAAAAAAATGTCCGTGTCCGTGTGTGTCCGTGTGTGTGTGTGTGCAGGGCTTTGAAAATTCAATTGCCTCTTACTCAGTAACCGTTAGAACGATCGGACTAAATTTTGCGATTTTTAATGAAATATATGCAGCTATTCAGATTTTATGTCATTAAAAATTTTTTGAAAAAAGGGCGTGGTCGCTCTAACTTTCGTAAAGGTTCGACGATTTAGCTAAATAGTTCTTCATAACTGAAGATACGTTCAATGTTGTTTGGTATTGAATTTCGACAAGATCGCTAAAGCGGTTCAGATTTCACGTGGTTTTGAAATTTTCAAAAAATTATCGTTATTGTTTATTTTTTTTACCTCATTTTTAATTTTTTATTCCTGTAAGTTCCAAAGTTCAATTGTACATAACTCGCAAAAATAAATCAAAGAACTTCCTCATAGTGGAGGCTTTGTGAACGAAGGAAAAGAATCAAGAAGCAAAGTGTAAGATTCTACTTTGCATCATTGTGATAGAAAAAACCAAGTAAAATAATGAGGAAGCAATTTGTAAGGTTCTACTTTGCACCCTTGTTTTTTCCTGTACATTTGTGTTGAACCAGTCGCTGATATCGGTGGATGGTAGAATAACTTCATTCTTAGTATTAAAGAACTTTAGTTCTTCGACAATCTCATCACCTTTCATAGTCTCGAACTTACAGGACAAAACGACGTTTACTTTAAAATTTCCCTCCTTTCGAAGTGCGTTTTTCACTCTAGCAATGGACAATTATCTTGCATCATTCAGGAAACGCTCCAAGTCCTTGTGTCGCAAGTTTACAATCACTCCAGTCCTTATTCTCCCCCTGAAGGCAGATTCCAACTCATCCCAATGCACTCTCTCTCTCTCTCTCTCTTTCTCTCTCTCTCTCTCACTCTCACTCTCACTCTCACTCTCACTCTCACTCTCACTCTCACTCTCTCTCACTCTCTCTCTCTCTCCCCCCCCGTCACCTCTTTTTTGAAGTTGTTGTTTACATTTTTCGTTCAACGATTTACGTATTCCAATTGTTGTCAAGAGTTTGGTTTTCTCCCCGATTGTGAACGTAACGTTCCTCAAAATTTTATTCAGAAGTAGAAATTTTGAGTGCCAAATTTCGTCCATTTTCCAATTTCTGCAATCGATGATCCCTTCTTTACAAGTTTATAGGCTCCTTCCATAATCTCGATCAACTTTTTACACTTCGCAGAATCCATTATGGTGACACCAATAATTCACTTGAGCGTTTGAATAACAATGATCGCTGCGCATCATCGGAGGGCCTTTTATACGAAGGTTTCAAGGTTTTCCTGGAATTGTTTTGCATCGGTTCGTGCGATAAGACACCTACCCGAATTGTGCAGTTTGAGTTCGAACTCTACATCAAAAAGTTTCCGAAGTGCACAAAGGGTCGCTTATCTTCTACGAGTAATTCGATACCCTGAATAACAAGATGAAAACAGTGTCCAGCTGCCGCCTGAAGTCTGCATGAGGGTCGGGGGAGTCATCGAAATCTTCAGGGCGGGGAGCTGCCGTTCAAAACCTGCACGGAGGCTTCCTCGAATGGCTGACGAGAGCCGACAAATTTCTTGGAATCGATTCTGCTGCTGCATCCTCGATGCGCAATTCTTTGAGATAATGTTCGAGGTCAAACAGACTGAGGGCTGCCGCCCGAAACCTGCACGGGGTCCGTCGAAGCTTCTAGAAGGCTCTCCGGGGTGGGGGGCAAAGGGTTGTCTCTCTCGTATTTTAGGTGACAGTTTTTACAGATATAGGATGTCGAGGTATTCCTCTCCGTAGTTTCCTGTATCTAAGTGTCAGTCATGGAAGTGCAGGGTATCTCAGAGAGGAAGGTTCCCGTTGCGTTTGGCTTAGTACGGACATGAACCATCAAATCTTCTAGAACGTTCTAGAAGGTTCTACAATGTTCTAGAATATTTTAGAAGGTTTTCGATCGTGTGCGATTCCTAGAATCGAGCGCAAAATTCCCGGATTGTGACACAAAATTCCTAGAATCCCCCATAATTTACTAGAAAACAGGGACTTTGGTGACGTCACTTCCGGAAATCGTAGAGCTCACGACGCCAACTTAGCACGGACACCCACCTTCGAAGGTTGTAAAGTGTCGGTATAGGTCGGTTACAGGAATCGTGGTCCAGAACCGGCCCAGCTATACTATTCGGAGCCAGCGGCGGCGATGCCGTGAGGGTGTGCCAAACTGGTAAATGGTTTCGCAATGCTCAAGCATATCCATTAACCTCATGCTTATGCTTATGCTTATGTAACGCACGGTTTAATGGTAGAAGTTAACAGTCAGGCATACAGCTTTTTATATAATATAAAACATGTTAATATAACATTTAATATAATATAATACTTTTACAAATACACTGCAAAATTATGTTTTTAATATTTAGTCTATCACATATTGATTAAAGCTTATAAGCAATATAAGAATCATATTCTTTCTCTCTCAGGGGAACTTTGAAAAATTAACAGTGTTCATATGCAGAAATAATGTTAATTATCACTTTTAACTGAAGTATATGTACAAATTCGGCTGGCCGCTCAGTGAGCAAAGTGACACACTCTTCAATTTGAGTATCCCGACAGGCGGAGGTTCAAATCCCGTTCACGGTAGCATAGATAGTAAACAAACACCTAATATTTAATTGTTATGTCAATCATACAATTTTGCCAATATGTCAATAACATGTGTATATATATTTTTTAATGAGTATCAAAGCAGTTTCAACAATTTCTACTAGGGCACTTGTTTACCATAACAGTACGCACTATTTGAACACACTATTTTTGTTATTGGACTATAGTTTATTCTTGTTAAGCAGAGTCTTGCATTTCGATTTAACTATAATTGAACATAAGAATATTGCTTTATTTAAAAGTTATAGAGAAATGAAATCGGGCTAATGAAAGACTGCTTTAACAACTGTACAGGAATGAATTCCGAATTACGAGAAATGCATTTTTTTCGTTTGTTTTATAATTACATTTTTGACGTATTAGATATGTTAAATGATTTATTTATGATAACAATATTTTGGCAGAATATAAATGATAAAAACTGGTATGACAGTTTCCCATTAATGTAGTTTATTTCAATAGTTCAATAGTCAATTTAGTATTGACGAATATGCAATAGCTTTATACAATTTCTTTCTGTAAGGGACGTCCAAACGACATCGTATGTCTTGTCTTCAGACACTTTAATCAAGTCGAAATAAAGACGCCTTTATCAGCATATTGGTCTAATGTTTTTTTTGACCAACTTGAAATATTTGTTCACCAATCCTTATGAAAAGAAACTATATAAATATAACTATTTAAAACGATTAAATATTCGTTAGTACTAAATTGGTAGACTATTCGAGAAGAATTATTGGAATAAAATACACTATTGGGAAGCTAATGTCACCATTTTTATGCACCGTGAACTGTTGTAATTATAAATCAAACGAAAAAAATGCATTTTTCGTGATTCGGATATTCATTCTTGTAAACTCGAAGCGGTCACCCATTCAAGTGCTGCACAAATGTTGATCTTCAATAATTGTCGAATGTCTCCGAATCCCTCTCTACTGCGTCTTCCTTTAAAATAGAGAGTATTTGTTTCTTTTATGCAGGATAAATTTAGAAACAACTGAGTCTTACCGCGTACTTGACAAATTTGTATAGAACTTAAAAACGAACTACTCTAAGATTATAGAACGATAAGATCCAAAATGGATTAAAAAAATTGGATAGAATCTACGAGTCATTATCAGTATTAGAAGCTCTTGTTAAACTTACAATTAGTATGGAACCTCCAAGTTCCGCCTTTAGATTCTCATAGACTAAAACTGGAGTTACCAGTTAATCTGTAAACCAAGAGATTACACCAATGGGTGTTTTACAGGCTCAAAAAAGTTTGAGTCAAATAATAACTAAACCTAAATACTTTGTTTGTTTTCTAACAGTAAGCACTATTAAAGTTTTATAGTAACTGGGCCGCATAGTAACTACATGAATACTACTTATGATAGGCTGAAGTAGTTATGAAGTGTAAAACTTTCAAGGCTTCACGATAGAAGGACACTTGGGTATCTTGACTGCGAGATTTGCCGGGAAATTCTCTAATGAAATAGAATTGCGTATAGCGCATTAGTTGTTTTATACTAGAAAGGCTGCGTGAGCTACTAAATGAGCCGCTCTCATTGGCCCTTCGCATACGACTGTACGCTCGATGCTCGAAAGTACGACAATACATTTAGTTATCAGTGGCATAGCTTGGTCAGGTGTTTGTCAAACTAATAGTACAGAATTTTTGAAAAGCAAATAAGAATAAATTTACAATATTGAGCTAATTATCGGTGCATGCATTGTATCAAATATCACTACAAGCGAATGAATTAGATGAACGATGGAAGCAAACGTTAGGTTTTTTATCAAATGACAAAATAGAAAATCTTTTTTTTGTAATAAATAATAATATAATTGATATGTGCATTAAGAAAATGTAAAATAACCTTTCTGTAAACGAGGGAGCAGCATGCGATCCTGATACGCATTCCTATCTCTTGGCTACCAAGATTGGTGTGATGCAACAGAAAAGTAATACCCACAGTTATAAGGATAAGTCCAGTGGCATAAAGAGTGACTTCTGCTTTTGTTGTTCCATTGTCACTGAAATAGTCGATCACCAAGCCTTGCATGATTGGTTGCATCGTACGCAATACTACATTTTGGATAACAAGGAGCAATCCATATAACATATATGGTTTCCAGAATGTACGCAGTATTGCTCGCGTAAGACTTGGCTGCTTTTCATTCCTCTTTAACTTCTTTTTTCCCTCCTTTCCTTCTGTGAATTCTTTTATCCATCGCTTCTTAATTTCCACTTCCCACTCTCTGTAAAAAAAAAGATCAAATAAAATTAATTTCTGTACAAAATTCAGGTTGAATATCATTTTCCGACACCAGACTCGTGTTATGATCGTAAATAAATTTTTCAGAATAGACGTAGAAAAGCTTTTTTTTTATGTATGGGGCATTCCACACCGAATCACCAAGCATTTGACCCTGAGAAGTTTTGATTTTATTGATTTGTTTACCTTTGAATATTTATTGAAAGTAACATTTTTAATTTTTTGGGGATTTTTATCTTAATCGATTCTTAAAATAGCAATTTTAAAAAAATTATACATTCCAAAATTTCAAATGGGTATAATTCACCAAAGGAAAATAATATTAATATAATTAAGGACACCATTTTATTCGTCTTGAATTGTAATTTCATAAAAAGATTTGTTTCAATTAATGGAACTCATTTCCACGTGTTTTTATTTGAAATCACAAAAATAATTGTTTGTCAGACACCGATACTAGATTTCATAAAAATAAATTTATAAAACTTGTGATGTTATTTTACAATTCACGGTCACAATCCGATTTCAGCTATCGTTTTGGATAACGTTCACGCTTCTTGGCTCCCTTCGAGTTACCACTCTGTTTAAGAGCGTCGCTCTCAGATCGATCCCCAAAAAACACTTACGTGTAAAAAACTATGCCAAGTACAGGAGTGCTGTGAATTCCTTTAATAAAAAGTATTGATATCAGATTATTGAGGCCAAGTACATAAGTCACTACATGTTTGCCTATTATATGATCTAGCACTGGCCCATCATTTTAATTGTATTTCCAAAATTTCCTATAACGTTTTCACTACTTTTTTACATTATTAGTGCTTCCCGTAGTTGATTATGATTTAATGGTCATTTAATAATTAATAAAACTTGAGGTGATTCCTTATCGAGTACTACTTGGCGGGTCCGTGCCAGGAATTCCAAAGTACCTACTTGAACGTACTAATAGTATCCTAAAACTATATGTTTGTTATTAAACTTTTACCATGATTATTTTTGACGAGTTATTGTTAATAAGCTCTATATAGAAAGTTGACATTAGTTTTGAGTTTGATGACTGGCATAATGAGCGCAAATTTATGTCAAGAAATGCACGGATCCGCCAAGTAGTACTCGATAAGGAATCACCTAAAGTTTTATTAATTATTAAATCACCATTTAATCGTAATTAAACACGGGAAGCAGTAGTAACATAGAAGAGTAGCGAAAACGTTATAGGAAATATTGAAAATATAATTAAAATGATGGGCCAGTGCTAGATCATATAATAGGAAAACATGTAGTGACTTATCTACTTGGCCTCAATAATCTGATATCAATACTTTTTATTTTTATTAGAGAAATACACAGCACTCTTGTACTTGGCGTAGTTTTTTACACGTAAGTTTTTTTGGGGGATTCAGTCTGCTGGATCGATCCAAAACTGATCTACACTGATCTTTCGCTTACAGTATTTATGACTTAAATCGATGATCTATGAATGAACTGGAATGCTCTATTTCCCTAATGCATAAATAATATCATACTCAGATCAATTTTGAGCCCAAGCCGTATGAATTATACGGAAAAGATCCTTTCAGAGAAATTTTAGATTCATCCTGCATACCGACGTTCATCCTTCGTTATAAGAGTAGTCACAATAAAAATAGGATCTCATATGGATCGTGTAAAGTGGTACACCAGTAATTCATGTCATATCTAACAATTTTTATCATACACTTCGGTATATGTTCGAGATACTGGAATATCAGTATTAATTCAACTTTCAGTTTGAATTCATCAGAAGGAGAAATCCATGAAAATTGGCCGGAACAAGTACACAAGCATCCAGGAAAGGGAATGGACATAAAAAAAAATCTGAAAATAGATTTGCTATTAGCTGTGAGGATTATACGGTCAGGACGATGGAGGATTATACATACTTCACCTCGAGATGGACAAAAATTGATTTGGTCACAGCAGCAGAAATTTTAATTTTTTATCCGGCTCTGAGGAGTTATTCAACTTCCACGTGTAAATCAACGGGAGATAGATTTCAGATTTACCTACTACGGAAGATCTGTATTATAATTATTTGACAGGGAATATAAACTCTTGAGGAATATGCTTTATCAATTATGAAAAGTCGTCAATTGCATTAGAATTTTATTGCGATTCGTCAACGGGATGTAGCACGAATCGCTGGAGATCAATGGAAGAAAAGCGAGATCAGGATAACCTGCATAAGACGTCACAGAGATATCTGTGTAAGTCAAATGTCATTATCATAGGACATTGCAGTTTTCAGTTAGTGCTTCATTGTTCAACCGAGAACTTCTGTTCTCAACGAGTATAGATATAGATAGACACCCAATAGACATGTCTTCGGCTGACGTCATCTTGCCCGAATCCACCGAGAAACAAAAGCGAAGGAAGAAAACTTGACGCCTTGCTCTGGCTGGTTAACTTTGGCCTGCTCCCATTTAAAAACTATAACCTTCCGGAAAAAAGGAACGTCATTTTCGTAATCAGTGGTGTCCCCCAAACACCCCATACCCCGTTGATCAGGTAATTTCGGAACACCCTGTAGATATAAATCAAACAGCTCTAAGAAAGCTATACATATATCGCTTTCTTACAGCTGTTTGACGATTTCCAATTCAGGTCTCAAGTCGAAATAGATGAAGAATATTAAATAAATGGATGAAGTTCATTAAATAAAAATAAAGATATCGAATAATAAATGTCACTTTATTCAAAGTAATATCTTGTTCTTGGCTGTTTTAGTTGTATTGCGATGCCACAGCTCTTGATTCCGCGAACGTTTTCTTGTATTTTGACGATTTTTTTTCAATGATGTCAATAATTTTCCATTATTCTGAATATATGTGCATGATACTGCTGGTGAATTTCTTATACGGCAAAATCCTATTCCAAAAAAGTCATGTTACATTTTATCGAATTGCGATATTAGCATTGTTGTTGCTTTATTCGGTTCGTGATTGGCAGTCGGTGTCGTCGATCGACGAGTGTCACAGCATCGGCGCTTCATGTCCAAGTTCACGGCATGTATGTACGTAACATACAGTTTGACAGATTGGGGTTATCGTAGGTCACCAGTTTATTTTACTTTTTAAAGAAAAATCGTAACTTTGTGCGTTTAATATTTCGTGAAAAAGCAGTGAACCGCGTTATGGAATTGCGTGTATAGGAGAACATTGAGGTAAATGACCTTTAATGCGAAAAATTTATTTTTCCGTAGTATTTGTTATTCTTCGATCGGCGGATTAAATGAAAAAACGAAAGAGCTTAACAATAATTTGTAATAGCAAAAAAACTGTAATAATCTGTAATAGAAAAAATGTGGAATAGAATCTTCTCGTGAATGACAGGTTGTAGGTTGTTTTTTTTCTGATAAAAGAAGTGATTACAAACGATGTCGTTTATGAAAAAAATTGGTGAGTACGTAAACCCTTAAATATTCTTTGCTTCTAAAGAGACTAGCTTTTCGTGTCTATTGAAATAATTAAATTATAATTGAAATAATTAGCTTCCCGCGTGAATTCCATTTTAGAGTACTGCGGAAACTGGCTGTGATTGGTTGGATCACACAAACATTGATGGGTATTGGTTGGCCGATACATGATTTAACAAGCAGATCGTAATTATGTACAATTGTACAGTGTGATAGTATAGTTCTTTTCAGAGCGCGACCAATACAAGGAAAGCCACATGTAAATAACCAATGGCAACAACAGCCGTCATTTGGGAATCCTGTACGTAAATACCGCGCAATACCAACCAAACATGTATGCACCAACCTACGGACAATCACGAGCTACGAACTTCCCATAATAGCCTATTAACGTACAGCCTATACCTAGGGAACCGCAAAGATTCCCCACTAACTCACAGGTATTTGATTGGTATTTGGGAATCCTGTACGTAAATACCGCGCAATACCAACCAAACATGTATGCACCAACGTACGGACAATCACGAGCTACGAACTTCCCATCATAGCCTATTAACGTACAGCCTATACCTAGGGAACCGCAAAGATTCCCCACTAACTCACAGGTATTTGATTGGTATTTGGGAATCCTGTACGTAAATACCGCGCAATACCAACCAAACATGTATGCACCAACGTACGGACAATCACGAGCTACGAACTTCCCATCATAGCCTATTAACGTACAGCCTATACCTAGGGAACCGCAAAGATTCCCCACTAACTCACAGGTATTTGGGAAGCCCATTAATGCATTCGCGCCCGGTAGCAATAAACCACAAAATCCAGTTACACCTATGTCAGGAGTTTCCAAAATACCATCAACAATAAATAAGAAACCATTCTCGCCTTTCGGCCAGAATGCTCGGCATTACGTTCTTGGAAATCAGACCTTCAGAGCTACTGGACCCCCTGATTTCATAGCCGAAGAAATCACAAATATAGAATATCAAGAACAAGATAATTACTATTATCCAGAGACAGAGAAATTTCAGGGCAAAGAAGAATATTCAGAGAACATGCAGTTTTCGACCGAAACATGTGCTGAACAAACTGAAGCACCCGCAAGCCAGAATAGAAATTAATACAGTACTCAGCAATTCATTACCATATACAGAAACTGCAGAGCCATACATGAAACTGTTGATAGATACAGGATGTCAGGCTTCCATCATGCGACCTATAATAGCGGAACAGAACTTCCCACATCAGATCTTTCGTAGTAATACAGTAATAACTACGTGTACAGGGCAACACACAGCGAGAGAAAAAGCTAAAATCCCCGCTTTTAAAGAATTCGATCAGCACGAACCCATGGAGTTCATTCTATTCAATTTCCATGATTATTATGACGGACTTATAGGAGTAAATGAATTAAAAAAAGCAAAAATGCACATAGATCTAGAAAACGGATTGCTACGCAACGACGAGACAGAAATCCCCCTGAAATACATAACAGATTTTAGCATTCAGAGAATAGAAGTTCC